AAGCATGCTTGCGTCCGAAAGCATGCTCACTGCCGGAAGCATGCTTGCGTCCGGACGCATGCTTGCGTCCGGAAGCATGCTTGCGCCCGGAAGCATGCTTGCGCCCGGAAGCTTGCTTGCGTCCGGAAGCATGCTTGCGTCCGGAAGCATGCTTTCGTCCAGAAGCATGCTTGCGTCCGGAAGCATGCTTGCGTCCGGACGCATGCTTGCGTCCGGAAGCATGCCTGCGCCCGAAAGCATGCTTGCGTCCGGAAGCATGCTTGCGTCCGGAAGCATGCTTGCGTCCGAAAGCATGCTTGCGTCCGGAAGCATGCTTGCGCCCGAAAGCATGCTTGCGTCCGGAAGCATGCTTGCGCCCGGACGCATGGTTGCGCCCGGAAGCATGCTTGCGTCCGGAAGCATGCTTGCGTCCGGAAGCATGCTTGCGTCCGGAAGCATGCTTGCGTCCGGAAGCATGCTTGCGTCCGGACGCATGCTTGCGTCCGGAAGCATGCCTGCGTCTGCGTCCGGAAGCATGCTTGCGTCCAAAAGCATGCTTGCGCCCGAAAGCATGCTTGCGGCTGGAAGCATGCTTGCGTCCGAAAGCATGCTTGCGGCCGGAAGCATGCTTGCGTCCGAAAGCATGCTTGCGTCCGAAAGCATGCTTGCGCCCGAAAGCATGCTTGCGTCCGGAAGCATGCTTGCTTCCGGAAGCATGCTTGCGTCCGAAAGCATGCTTGCGTCCGGAAGCATGCTTGCGCCCGAAAGCATGCTTGCGTCCGGAAGCATGCTTGCGCCCGGACGCATGCTTGCGTCCGGAAGCATGCTTGCGTCCGACAGCATGCTTGCGTCCGAAAGCATGCTTGCGTCCGGAAGCATGCTTGCGTCCGAAAGCATGCTTGCGTCCGGAAGCATGCTTGCGTCCGGAAGCATGCTTGCGCACGAAAGCATGCTTGCGTCCGGAAGCATGCTTGCGTCCGGAAGCATGCTTGCGTCCGAAAGCATGCTTGCGCCGGAAGCATGCTTGCGCCCGAAAGCATGCTTGCGTCCGGAAGCATGCTTGCGCCCGGACGCATGCTTGCGCCCGGAAGCATGCTTGCGTCCGGAAGCATGCTTGCGTCCGGAAGCATGCTTGCGTCCAGAAGCATGCTTGCGTCCGGAAGCATGCTTGCGTCCGGACGCATGCCTGCGTCTGCGTCCGGAAGCATGCCTGCGTCTGCGTCCAGAAGCATGCTTGCGTCCGAAAGCATGCTTGCGCCCGAAAGCATGCTTGCGGCTGGAAGCATGCTTGCGTCCGAAAGCATGCTTGCGGCCGGAAGCATGCTTGCGTCCGAAAGCATGCTTGCGTCCGAAAGCATGCTTGCGCCCGAAAGCATGCTTGCGTCCGGAAGCATGCTTGCGTCCGAAAGCATGCTTGCGTCCGAAAGCATGCTTGCGTCCGGAAGCATGCTTGCGCCCGAAAGCATGCTTGCGTCCGGAAGCATGCTTGCGCCCGGACACATGCTTGCGTCCGGAAGCATGCTTGCGTCCGACAGCATGCTTGCGTCCGAAAGCATGCTTGCGTCCGGAAGCATGCTTGCGCCCGGACACATGCTTGCGTCCGGAAGCATGCTTGCGCCCGGACACATGCTTGCGTCCGGAAGCATGCTTGCGTCCGACAGCATGCTTGCGTCCGAAAGCATACTTGCGCCCGAAAGCATGCTTGCGTCCGGAAGCATGCTTGCTTCCGGAAGCATGCTTGCGCCCGGACGCATGCTTGCGTCCGGAAGCATGCTTGCGCCCAGAAGCATGCTTGCGTCCGGAAGCATGCTTGCGTCCGGACGCATGCTTGCGTCCGGAAGCATGCTTGCGTCCGGAAGCATGCTTACGTCCAGAAGCATGCTTGCGCCCGGAAGCATGCTTGCGTCAGAAAGCATGCTTGTGCCCGAAAGCATGCTTGCGTCCGGAAGCATGCTTGCGCCCGAAAGCATGCTTGCGTCCGGAAGCATGCTTGCGCCCAGACGCATGCTTGCGTCCGGAAGCATGCTTGCGTCCGGAAGCATGCTTGCGTCCGGACGCATGCTTGCGCCCGAACGCATGCTTGCGTCCAGAAGCATGCTTGCGCCCGAAAGCATGCTTGCGTCCGGAAGCATGCTTGCGTCCGGAAGCATGCTTGCGTCCGAAAGCATGATTGCGTCCGAAAGCATGCTTGCGCCCAGACGCATGCTTGCGTCCGGAAGCATGCTTGCGTCCGAAAGCATGCTTGCGTCCGGAAGCATGCTTGCGTCCGGAAGCATGCTTGCGTCCGGAAGCATGCTTGCGTCCAGAAGCATGCTTGCGCCCGGAAGCATGCTTGCGTCAGAAAGCATGCTTGTGCCCGAAAGCATGCTTGCGTCCGGAAGCATGCTTGCGCCCGAAAGCATGCTTGCGTCCGAAAGCATGCTTGCGTCCGAAAGCATGCTTGCGTCCGGAAGCATGCTTGCGTCTGGAAGCATGCTTGCGTCCGAAAGCATGCTTGCGTCCGAAAGCATGCTTGCGCCCGAAAGTATGCTTGCGTCCGGAAGCATGCTTGCGTCCGAAAGCATGCTTGCGTCCGGAAGCATGCTTGCGCCCGAAAGCATGCTTGCGTCCGGAAGCATGCTTGCGCCCGGACGCATGCTTGCGTCCGGAAGCATGCTTGCGTCCGACAGCATGCTTGCGTCCGAAAGCATGCTTGCGCCCGAAAGCATGCTTGCGTCCGGAAGCATGTTTGCGTCCGGACGCATGCTTTCGGTCGAAAGCATGCTTGCGCCCGCAAGCATGCTTGCGCCCGGAAGCATGCTTGCGTCCGAAAGCATGCTTGCGTCCGAAAGCATGCTTGCGTCCGGAAGCATGCTTGCGTCCGGACGCATGCTTGCGTCCGAAAGCATGCTTGCGCCCGGAAGCATGCTTGCGTCAGAAAGCATGCTTGTGCCCGAAAGCATGCTTGCGTCCGGAAGCATGCTTGCGCCCGAAAGCATGCTTGCGTCCGGAAGCATGCTTGCGCCCGGACGCATGCTTGCGTCCGGAAGCATGCTTGCGTCCGGACGCATGCTTGCGCCCGAACGCATGCATGCGTCCGGAAGCATGCTTGCGCCCAAAAGCATGCTTGCGTCCGGAAGCATTCTTGCGCCCGGACGCATGCTTGCGTCCGGAAGCATGCTTGCATCCGGACGCATGCTTGCGCCCGAACGCATGCTTGCGCCCGGACGCATGCTTGCGTCCGGAAGCATGCTTGCGTCCGGAAGCATGCTTGCGCCCGAAAGCATGCTTGCGTCCGGAAGCATGCTTGCGTCCGGAAGCATGCTTGCGTCCGGACGCATGCTTGCGTCCGAAAGCATGCTTGCGCCCGGAAGCATGCTTGCGTCAGAAAGCATGCTTGTGCCCGAAAGCATGCTTGCGTCCGGAAGCATGCTTGCGCCCGAAAGCATGCTTGCGTCCGGAAGCATGCTTGCGCCCGGACGCATGCTTGCGTCCGGAAGCATGCTTGCGTCCGGACGCATGCTTGCGCCCGAACGCATGCATGCGTCCGGAAGCATGCTTGCGCCCGAAAGCATGCTTGCGTCCGGAAGCATTCTTGCGCCCGGACGCATGCTTGCGTCCGGAAGCATGCTTGCATCCGGACGCATGCTTGCGCCCGAACGCATGCTTGCGCCCGGACGCATGCTTGCGTCCGGAAGCATGCTTGCGTCCGGAAGCATGCTTGCGCCCGAAAGCATGCTTGCGTCCGGAAGCATGCTTGCGTCCGGACGCATGCTTGCGTCCGAAAGCATGCTTGCGCCCGAAAGCATGCTTGCGCCCGAAAGCATGCTTGCGTCCGGAAGCATGCTTGCGTCCGTAAGCATGCTTGCGTCCTAAAGCATGCTTGCGTCCGGAAGCATGCTTGCGTCCGGAAGCATGCTTGCGCCCGAAAGCATGCTTGCGTCCGGACGCATGCTTGCGTCCTAAAGCATGCTTGCGTCCGGAAGCATGCTTTCGTCCGGAAGCATGCTTGCGTCCGCGAGCATGCTTGCGTCCGGAAGCATGCTTGCGTCCGAAAGCATGCTTGCGTCCGGAAGCATGCTTGCGTCCGGAAGCATGCTTGCGTCCGGAAGCATGCTTGCGTCCGGAAGCATGCTTGCGTCCGGACCCATGCTTGCGCCCGGAAGCATGCTTGCGTCCGAAAGCATGCTCACTGCCGGAAGCATGCTTGCGTCCGGACGCATGCTTGCGCCCAGAAGCATGCTTGCGCCCGGACGCATGCTTGCGCCCGGAAGCATGCTTGCACCCGGACGCATGCTTGCGCCCGGAGGCATGCTTGCGTCCGAAAGCATGCTTGCGTCCGAAAGCATGCTTGCGCCCGAAAGCATGCTTGCGTCCGGAAGCATGCTTGCGTCCGGAAGCATGCTTGCGTCCGGACGCATGCTTGCGTCCGAAAGCATGCTTGCGCCCGGAAGCATGCTTGCGTCAGAAAGCATGCTTGTGCCCGAAAGCATGCTTGCGTCCGGAAGCATGCTTGCGCCCGAAAGCATGCTTGCGTCCGGAAGCATGCTTGCGCCCGGACGCATGCTTGCGTCCGGAAGCATGCTTGCGTCCGGACGCATGCTTGCGCCCGAACGCATGCATGCGTCCGGAAGCATGCTTGCGCCCGAAAGCATGCTTGCGTCCGGAAGCATTCTTGCGCCCGGACGCATGCTTGCGTCCGGAAGCATGCTTGCATCCGGACGCATGCTTGCGCCCGAACGCATGCTTGCGCCCGGACGCATGCTTGCGTCCGGAAGCATGCTTGCGTCCGGAAGCATGCTTGCGCCCGAAAGCATGCTTGCGTCCGGAAGCATGCTTGCGTCCGGACGCATGCTTGCGTCCGAAAGCATGCTTGCGTCCGAAAGCATGCTTGCGCCCGAAAGCATGCTTGCGTCCGGAAGCATGCTTGCATCCGTAAGCATGCTTGCGTCCTAAAGCATGCTTGCGTCCGGAAGCATGCTTGCGTCCGAAAGCATGCTTGCGCCCGAAAGCATGCTTGCGTCCGGACGCATGCTTGCGTCCTAAAGCATGCTTGCGTCCGGAAGCATGCTTTCGTCCGGAAGCATGCTTGCGTCCGCGAGCATGCTTGCGTCCGGAAGCATGCTTGCGTCCGAAAGCATGCTTGCGTCCGGAAGCATGCTTGCCTCCGGAAGCATGCTTGCGTCCGGAAGCATGCTTGCGTCCGGAAGCATGCTTGCGTCCGGACCCATGCTTGCGCCCGGAAGCATGCTTGCGTCCGAAAGCATGCTCACTGCCGGAAGCATGCTTGCGTCCGGACGCATGCTTGCGCCCAGAAGCATGCTTGCGCCCGGACGCATGCTTGCGCCCGGAAGCATGCTTGCACCCGGACGCATGCTTGCGCCCGGAAGCATGCTTGCGTCCGAAAGCATGCTTGCGTCCGAAAGCATGCTTGCGTCCAGAAGCATGCTTGCGCCCGGAAGCATGCTTGCGTCAGAAAGCATGCTTGTGCCCGAAAGCATGCTTGCGTCCGGAAGCATGCTTGCGCCCGAAAGCATGCTTGCGTCCGAAAGCATGCTTGCGTCCGAAAGCATGCTTGCGTCCGGAAGCATGCTTGCGTCTGGAAGCATGCTTGCGTCCGAAAGCATGCTTGCGTCCGAAAGCATGCTTGCGCCCGAAAGCATGCTTGCGTCCGGAAGCATGCTTGCGTCCGAAAGCATGCTTGCGTCCGGAAGCATGCTTGCGCCCGAAAGCATGCTTGCGTCCGGAAGCATGCTTGCGCCCGGACGCATGCTTGCGTCCGGAAGCATGCTTGCGTCCGACAGCATGCTTGCGTCCGAAAGCATGCTTGCGCCCGAAAGCATGCTTGCGTCCGGAAGCATGTTTGCGTCCGGACGCATGCTTTCGGTCGAAAGCATGCTTGCGCCCGCAAGCATGCTTGCGCCCGGAAGCATGCTTGCGTCCGAAAGCATGCTTGCGTCCGAAAGCATGCTTGCGTCCGGAAGCATGCTTGCGTCCGGACGCATGCTTGCGTCCGAAAGCATGCTTGCGCCCGGAAGCATGCTTGCGTCAGAAAGCATGCTTGTGCCCGAAAGCATGCTTGCGTCCGGAAGCATGCTTGCGCCCGAAAGCATGCTTGCGTCCGGAAGCATGCTTGCGCCCGGACGCATGCTTGCGTCCGGAAGCATGCTTGCGTCCGGACGCATGCTTGCGCCCGAACGCATGCATGCGTCCGGAAGCATGCTTGCGCCCGAAAGCATGCTTGCGTCCGGAAGCATTCTTGCGCCCGGACGCATGCTTGCGTCCGGAAGCATGCTTGCATCCGGACGCATGCTTGCGCCCGAACGCATGCTTGCGCCCGGACGCATGCTTGCGTCCGGAAGCATGCTTGCGTCCGGAAGCATGCTTGCGCCCGAAAGCATGCTTGCGTCCGGAAGCATGCTTGCGTCCGGAAGCATGCTTGCGTCCGGACGCATGCTTGCGTCCGAAAGCATGCTTGCGCCCGGAAGCATGCTTGCGTCAGAAAGCATGCTTGTGCCCGAAAGCATGCTTGCGTCCGGAAGCATGCTTGCGCCCGAAAGCATGCTTGCGTCCGGAAGCATGCTTGCGCCCGGACGCATGCTTGCGTCCGGAAGCATGCTTGCGTCCGGACGCATGCTTGCGCCCGAACGCATGCATGCGTCCGGAAGCATGCTTGCGCCCGAAAGCATGCTTGCGTCCGGAAGCATTCTTGCGCCCGGACGCATGCTTGCGTCCGGAAGCATGCTTGCATCCGGACGCATGCTTGCGCCCGAACGCATGCTTGCGCCCGGACGCATGCTTGCGTCCGGAAGCATGCTTGCGTCCGGAAGCATGCTTGCGCCCGAAAGCATGCTTGCGTCCGGAAGCATGCTTGCGTCCGGACGCATGCTTGCGTCCGAAAGCATGCTTGCGTCCGAAAGCATGCTTGCGCCCGAAAGCATGCTTGCGTCCGGAAGCATGCTTGCGTCCGTAAGCATGCTTGCGTCCTAAAGCATGCTTGCGTCCGGAAGCATGCTTGCGTCCGAAAGCATGCTTGCGCCCGAAAGCATGCTTGCGTCCGGACGCATGCTTGCGTCCTAAAGCATGCTTGCGTCCGGAAGCATGCTTTCGTCCGGAAGCATGCTTGCGTCCGCGAGCATGCTTGCGTCCGGAAGCATGCTTGCGTCCGAAAGCATGCTTGCGTCCGGAAGCATGCTTGCGTCCGGAAGCATGCTTGCGTCCGGAAGCATGCTTGCGTCCGGAAGCATGCTTGCGTCCGGACCCATGCTTGCGCCCGGAAGCATGCTTGCGTCCGAAAGCATGCTCACTGCCGGAAGCATGCTTGCGTCCGGACGCATGCTTGCGTCCTGAAGCATGCTTGCGCCCGGAAGCATGCTTGCGCCCGGAAGCATGCTTGCGTCCGGAAGCATGCTTGCGTCCGGAAGCATGCTTTCGTCCAGAAGCATGCTTGCGTCCGGAAGCATGCTTGCGTCCGGACGCATGCTTGCGTCCGGAAGCATGCTTGCGCCCGAAAGCATGCTTGCGTCCGGAAGCATGCTTGCGTCCGGAAGCATGCTTGCGTCCGAAAGCATGCTTGCGTCCGGAAGCATGCTTGCGCCCGAAAGCATGCTTGCGTCCGGAAGCATGCTTGCGCCCGGACGCATGCTTGCGCCCGGAAGCATGCTTGCGTCCGGAAGCATGCTTGCGTCCGGAAGCATGCTTGCGTCCAGAAGCATGCTTGCGTCCGGAAGCATGCTTGCGTCCAGAAGCATGCCTGCGTCTGCGTCCGGAAGCATGCTTGCGTCTGCGTCCGGAAGCATGCTTGCGTCCGAAAGCATGCTTGCGCCCGAAAGCATGCTTGCGGCTGGAAGCATGCTTGCGTCTGAAAGCATGCTTGCGGCCGGAAGCATGCTTGCATCCGAAAGCATGCTTGCGTCCGAAAGCATGCTTGCGCCCGAAAGCATGCTTGCGTCCGGAAGCATGCCTGCGTCCGGAAGCATGCTTGCGTCCGAAAGCATGCTTGCGTCCGGAAGCATGCTTGCGCCCGAAAGCATGCTTGCGTCCGGAAGCATGCTTGCGCCCAGACGCATGCTTGCGTCCGGAAGCATGCTTGCGTCCGACAGCATGCTTGCGTCCGAAAGCATGCTTGCGTCCGGAAGCATGCTTGCGTCCGAAAGCATGCTTGCGTCCGGAAGCATGCTTGCGTCCGAAAGCATGCTTGCGTCCGGAAGCATGCTTGCGTCCGGAAGCATGCTTGCGCCCGGACGCATGCTTGCGTCCGGAAGCATGCTTGCGCCCAGAAGCATGCTTGCGTCCGGAAGCATGCTTGCGTCCGGACGCATGCTTGCGTCCGGAAGCATGCTTGCGTCCGGACGCATGCTTGCGTCCGAAAGCATGCTTGCGCCCGGAAGCATGCTTGCGTCAGAAAGCATGCTTGTGCCCGAAAGCATGCTTGCATCCGGAAGCATGCTTGCGCCCGAAAGCATGCTTGCGTCCGGAAGCATGCTTGCGCCCGAAAGCATGCTTGCGTCTGGAAGCATTCTTGCGCCCGGACGCATGCTTGCGTCCGGAAGCATGCTTGCATCCGGACGCATGCTTGCGCCCGAACGCATGCTTGCGCCCGGACGCATGCTTGCGTCCGGAAGCATGCTTGCGTCCGGAAGCATGCTTGCGCCCGAAAGCATGCTTGCGTCCGGAAGCATGCTTGCGTCCGGACGCATGCTTGCGTCCGAAAGCATGCTTGCGTCCGGAAGCATGCTTGCGTCCGGAAGCATGCTTGCGTCCGGAAGCATGCTTGCGTCCGGAAGCATGCTTGCGTCCAGAAGCATGCTTGCGTCCGGACCCATGCTTGCGCCCGGAAGCATGCTTGCGTCCGAAAGCATGCTCACTGCCGGAAGCATGCTTGCGTCCGGACGCATGCTTGCGTCCGGAAGCATGCTTTCGTCCAGAAGCATGCTTGCGTCCGGAAGCATGCTTGCGTCCGGACGCATGCTTGCGTCCGGAAGCATGCTTGCGCCCGAAAGCATGCTTGCGTCCGGAAGCATGCTTGCGTCCGGAAGCATGCTTGCGTCCGAAAGCATGCTTGCGTCCGGAAGCATGCTTGCGCCCGAAAGCATGCTTGTGTCCGGAAGCATGCTTGCGCCCGGACGCATGCTTGCGCCCGGAAGCATGCTTGCGTCCGGAAGCATGCTTGCGTCCGGAAGCATGCTTGCGTCCAGAAGCATGCTTGCGTCCGGAAGCATGCTTGCGTCCAGAAGCATGCCTGCGTCTGCGTCCGGAAGCATGCCTGCGTCTGCGTCCGGAAGCATGCTTGCGTCCGAAAGCATGCTTGCGCCCGAAAGCATGCTTGCGGCTGGAAGCATGCTTGCGTCCGAAAGCATGCTTGCGGCCGGAAGCATGCTTGCATCCGAAAGCATGCTTGCGTCCGAAAGCATGCTTGCGTCCGAAAGCATGCTTGCGTCCGGAAGCATGCTTGCGTCCAGAAGCATGCTTGCGTCCAGACCCATGCTTGCGTCCAGAAGCATGCTTGCGTCCAGAAGCATGCTTGCGTCCAGAAGCATGCTTGCGTCCGGAAGCATGCTTGCGTCCAGACCCATGCTTGCGTCCAGAAGCATGCTTGCGTCCAGAAGCATGCTTGCGTCCAGAAGCATGCTTGCGTCCGGAAGCATGCTTGCGTCCGGAAGCATGCTTGCGTCCGAAAGCATGCTTGCGTCCAGAAGCATGCTTGCGTCCGGAAGCATGCTTGCGCCCGGAAGCATGCTTGCGTCCGAAAGCATGCTCACTGCCGGAAGCATGCTTGCGTCCGGACGCATGCTTGCGTCCGGAAGCATGCTTTCGTCCAGAAGCATGCTTGCGTCCAGAAGCATGCTTGCGTCCAGAAGCATGCTTGCGTCCAGACCCATGCTTGCGTCCAGAAGCATGCTTGCGTCCAGAAGCATGCTTGCGTCCAGAAGCATGCTTGCGTCCAGAAGCATGCTTGCGTCCAGACCCATGCTTGCGTCCAGAAGCATGCTTGCGTCCAGAAGCATGCTTGCGTCCAGAAGCATGCTTGCGTCCGGAAGCATGCTTGCGTCCGGAAGCATGCTTGCGTCCGAAAGCATGCTTGCGTCCAGAAGCATGCTTGCGTCCGGACCCATGCTTGCGCCCGGAAGCATGCTTGCGTCCGAAAGCATGCTCACTGCCGGAAGCATGCTTGCGTCCGGACGCATGCTTGCGTCCGGAAGCATGCTTTCGTCCAGAAGCATGCTTGCGTCCGGAAGCATGCTTGCGTCCGGACGCATGCTTGCGTCCGGAAGCATGCTTGCGCCCGAAAGCATGCTTGCGTCCGGAAGCATGCTTGCGTCCGGAAGCATGCTTGCGTCCGAAAGCATGCTTGCGTCCGGAAGCATGCTTGCGCCCGAAAGCATGCTTGTGTCCGGAAGCATGCTTGCGCCCAGAAGCATGCTTGTGTCCAGAAGCATGCTTGTGTCCAGAAGCATGCTTGTGTCCAGAAGCATGCTTGTGTCCGGAAGCATGCTTGCGCCCGGACGCATGCTTGCGCCCGGAAGCATGCTTGCGTCCGGAAGCATGCTTGCGTCCGGAAGCATGCTTGCGTCCAGAAGCATGCTTGCGTCCGGAAGCATGTTTGCGTCCAGAAGCATGCCTGCGTCTGCGTCCGGAAGCATGCCTGCGTCTGCGTCCGGAAGCATGCTTGCGTCCGAAAGCATGCTTGCGCCCGAAAGCATGCTTGCGGCTGGAAGCATGCTTGCGTCCGAAAGCATGCTTGCGGCCGGAAGCATGCTTGCATCCGAAAGCATGCTTGCGTCCGAAAGCATGCTTGCGTCCGAAAGCATGCTTGCGTCCGGAAGCATGCTTGCGTCCAGAAGCATGCTTGCGTCCAGACCCATGCTTGCGTCCAGAAGCATGCTTGCGTCCAGAAGCATGCTTGCGTCCAGAAGCATGCTTGCGTCCGGAAGCATGCTTGCGTCCAGACCCATGCTTGCGTCCAGAAGCATGCTTGCGTCCAGAAGCATGCTTGCGTCCAGAAGCATGCTTGCGTCCGGAAGCATGCTTGCGTCCGGAAGCATGCTTGCGTCCGAAAGCATGCTTGCGTCCAGAAGCATGCTTGTGTCCGGACCCATGCTTGCGCCCGGAAGCATGCTTGCGTCCGAAAGCATGCTTGCGTCCAGAAGCATGCTTGTGTCCGGACCCATGCTTGCGCCCGGAAGCATGCTTGCGTCCGGAAGCATGCTTTCGTCCAGAAGCATGCTTGCGTCCAGAAGCATGCTTGCGTCCAGAAGCATGCTTGCGTCCAGACCTATGCTTGCGTCCAGAAGCATGCTTGCGTCCAGAAGCATGCTTGCGTCCAGAAGCATGCTTGCGTCCAGAAGCATGCTTGCGTCCAGACCCATGCTTGCGTCCAGAAGCATGCTTGCGTCCAGAAGCATGCTTGCGTCCAGAAGCATGCTTGCGTCCGGAAGCATGCTTGCGTCCGGAAGCATGCTTGCGTCCGAAAGCATGCTTGCGTCCAGAAGCATGCTTGCGTCCGGACCCATGCTTGCGCCCGGAAGCATGCTTGCGTCCGAAAGCATGCTCACTGCCGGAAGCATGCTTGCGTCCGGACGCATGCTTGCGTCCGGAAGCATGCTTTCGTCCAGAAGCATGCTTGCGTCCGGAAGCATGCTTGCGTCCGGACGCATGCTTGCGTCCGGAAGCATGCTTGCGCCCGAAAGCATGCTTGCGTCCGGAAGCATGCTTGCGTCCGGAAGCATGCTTGCGTCCGAAAGCATGCTTGCGTCCGGAAGCATGCTTGCGCCCGAAAGCATGCTTGTGTCCGGAAGCATGCTTGCGCCCGGACGCATGCTTGCGCCCGGAAGCATGCTTGCGTCCGGAAGCATGCTTGCGTCCGGAAGCATGCTTGCGTCCAGAAGCATGCTTGCGTCCGGAAGCATGCTTGCGTCCGGAAGCATGCTTGCGTCCGAAAGCATGCTTGCGTCCGGAAGCATGCTTGCGCCCGAAAGCATGCTTGTGTCCGGAAGCATGCTTGCGCCCGGACGCATGCTTGCGCCCGGAAGCATGCTTGCGTCCGGAAGCATGCTTGCGTCCGGAAGCATGCTTGCGTCCAGAAGCATGCTTGCGCCCGGAAGCATGCTTGCGTCAGAAAGCATGCTTGTGCCCGAAAGCATGCTTGCATCCGGAAGCATGCTTGCGCCCGAAAGCATGCTTGCGTCCGGAAGCATGCTTGCGCCCGGACGCATGCTTGCGTCCGGAAGCATGCTTGCGTCCGGACGCATGCTTGCGCCCGAACGCATGCATGCGTCCGGAAGCATGCTTGCGCCCGAAAGCATGCTTGCGTCCGGAAGCATTCTTGCGCCCGGACGCATGCTTGCGTCCGGAAGCATGCTTGCATCCGGACGCATGCTTGCGCCCGAACGCATGCTTGCGCCCGGACGCATGCTTGCGTCCGGAAGCATGCTTGCGTCCGGAAGCATGCTTGCGCCCGAAAGCATGCTTGCGTCCGGAAGCATGCTTGCGTCCGGACGCATGCTTGCGTCCGAAAGCATGCTTGCGTCCGGAAGCATGCTTGCGTCCGGAAGCATGCTTGCGTCCGGAAGCATGCTTGCGTCCGGAAGCATGCTTGAGTCCAGAAGCATGCTTGCGTCCGGACCCATGCTTGCGCCCGGAAGCATGCTTGCGTCCGAAAGCATGCTCACTGCCGGAAGCATGCTTGCGTCCGGACGCATGCTTGCGTCCGGAAGCATGCTTTCGTCCAGAAGCATGCTTGCGTCCGGAAGCATGCTTGCGTCCGGACGCATGCTTGCGTCCGGAAGCATGCTTGCGCCCGAAAGCATGCTTGCGTCCGGAAGCATGCTTGCGTCCGGAAGCATGCTTGCGTCCGAAAGCATGCTTGCGTCCGGAAGCATGCTTGCGCCCGAAAGCATGCTTGTGTCCGGAAGCATGCTTGCGCCCGGACGCATGCTTGCGCCCGGAAGCATGCTTGCGTCCGGAAGCATGCTTGCGTCCGGAAGCATGCTTGCGTCCAGAAGCATGCTTGCGTCCGGAAGCATGCTTGCGTCCAGAAGCATGCCTGCGTCTGCGTCCGGAAGCATGCCTGCGTCTGCGTCCGGAAGCATGCTTGCGTCCGAAAGCATGCTTGCGCCCGAAAGCATGCTTGCGGCTGGAAGCATGCTTGCTTCCGAAAGCATGCTTGCGGCCGGAAGCATGCTTGCATCCGAAAGCATGCTTGCGTCCGAAAGCATGCTTGCGCTCGAAAGCATGCTTGCGTCCGGAAGCATGCCTGCGTCCGGAAGCATGCTTGCGTCCGAAAGCATGCTTGCGTCCGGAACCATGCTTGCGCCCGAAAGCATGCTTGCGTCCGGAAGCATGCTTGCGCCCAGACGCATGCTTGCGTCCGGAAGCATGCTTGCGTCCGACAGCATGCTTGCGTCCGAAAGCATGCTTGCGTCCGGAAGCATGCTTGCGTCCGAAAGCATGCTTGCGACCGGAAGCATGCTTGCGTCCGAAAGCATGCTTGCGTCCGGAAGCATGCTTGCGTCCGGAAGCATGCTTGCGCCCGGACGCATGCTTGCGTCCGGAAGCATGCTTGCGTCCGGAAGCATGCTTGCGTCCGGAAGCATGCTTGCGTCCGGACGCATGCTTGCGTCCGGAAGCATGCTTGCGTCCGGAAGCATGCTAACGTCCAGAAGCATGCTTGCGCCCGGAAGCATGCTTGCGTCAGAAAGCATGCTGTGCCCGAAAGCATGCTTGCGTCCGGAAGCATGCTTGCGCCCGAAAGCAAGCTTGGGTCCGGAAGCATGCTTGCGCCCGGACGCATGCTTGCGTCCGGAAGCATGCTTGCGTCCGGAAGCATGCTTGCGTCCGGATGCATGCTTGCGCCCGAACGCATGCTTGTGTCCAGAAGCATGCTTGCGCCCGAAAGCATGCTTGCGTCCGGAAGCATGCTTGCGTCCGGAAGCATGCTTGCGTCCGAAAGCATGCTTGCGTCCGAAAGCATGCTTGCGCCCAGACGCATGCTTGCGTCCGGAAGCATGCTTGCGTCCGAAAGCATGCTTGCGTCCGGAAGCATGCTTGCGTCCGGAAGCATGCTTGCGTCCGGAAGCATGCTTGCGTCCAGAAGCATGCTTGCGCTCGGAAGCATGCTTGCGTCAGAAAGCATGCTTGTGCCCGAAAGCATGCTTGCGTCCGGAAGCATGCTTGCGCCCGAAAGCATGCTTGCGTCCGAAAGCATGCTTGCGTCCGAAAGCATGCTTGCGTCCGGAAGCATGCTTGCGTCCGGAAGCATGCTTGCGTCCGAAAGCATGCTTGCGTCCGAAAGCATGCTTGCGCCCGAAAGCATGCTTGCGTCCGGAAGCATGCTTGCGTCCGGAAGCATGATTGCGTCCGAAAGCATGCTTGCGTCCGAAAGCATGCTTGCGCCCGAAAGCATGCTTGCGTCCGGAAGCATGCTTGCGCCCGGACGCATGCTTGCGTCCGGAAGCATGCTTGCGTCCGACAGCATGCTTGCGTCCGAAAGCATGCTTGCGCGCGAAAGCATGCTTGCGTCCGGAAGCATGTTTGCGTCCGGACGCATGCTTTCGGTCGAAAGCATGCTTGCGCCCGCAAGCATGCTTGCGCCCGGAAGCATGCTTGCGTCCGAAAGCATGCTTGCGTCCGAAAGCATGCTTGCGCCCGGAAGCATGCTTGCGTCAGAAAGCATGCTTGTGCCCGAAAGCATGCTTGCCTCCGGAAGCATGCTTGCGCCTGAAAGCATGCTTGCGTCCGGAAGCATGCTTGCGCCCGGACGCATGCTTGCGTCCGGAAGCATGCTTGCGTCCGGACGCATGCTTGCGCCCGAACGCATGCTTGCGTCCGGAAGCATGCTTGCGCCCGAAAGCATGCTTGCGTCCGGAAGCATTCTTGCGCCCGGACGCATGCTTGCGTCCGGAAGCATGCTTGCATCCGGACGCATGCTTGCGCCCGAACGCATGCTTGCGCCCGGACGCATGCTTGCGTCCGGAAGCATGCTTGCGTCCGGAAGCATGCTTGCGCCCGAAAGCATGCTTGCGTCCGGAAGCATGCTTGCGTCCGGACGCATGCTTGCGTCCGAAAGCATGCTTGCGTCCGAAAGCATGCTTGCGCCCGAAAGCATGCTTGCGTCGGGAAGCATGCTTGCGTCCGGAAGCATGCTTGCGCCCGGAAGCATGCTTGCGTCCGAAAGCATGCTTGCGCCCGAAAGCATGCTTGCGTCCGGACGCATGCTTGCGTCCTAAAGCATGCTTGCGTCCGGAAGCATGCTTTCGTCCGGACGCATGCTTGCGTCCGAGAGCATGCTTGCGTCCGGAAGCATGCTTGCGTCCGAAAGCATGCTTGCGTCCGGAAGCATGCTTGCGTCCGGAAGCATGCTTGCGTCCGGAAGCATGCTTGCGTCCGGAAGCATGCTTGCGTCCGGACCCATGCTTGCGCCCGGAAGCATGCTTGCGTCCGAAAGCATGCTCACTGCCGGAAGCATGCTTGCGTCCGGACGCATGCTTGCGTCCGGAAGCATGCTTGCGCCCGGAAGCATGCTTGCGCCCGGAAGCATGCTTGCGTCCGGAAGCATGCTTGCGTCCGGAAGCATGCTTTCGTCCAGAAGAATGCTTGCGTCCGGAAGCATGCTTGCGTCCGGACGCATGCTTGCATCCGGAAGCATTCTTGCGCCCGAAAGCATGCTTGCGTCCGGAAGCATGCTTGCGTCCGGAAGCATGCTTGCGTCCGAAAGCATGCTTGCGTCCGGAAGCATGCTTGCGCCCGAAAGCATGCTTGCGTCCGGAAGCATGCTTGCGCCCGGACGCATGCTTGCGCCCGGAAGCATGCTTGCGTCCGGAAGCATGCTTGCGTCCGGAAGCATGCTTGCGTCCAGAAGCATGCTTGCGTCCGGAAGCATGCTTGCGTCCGGACGCATGCTTGCGTCCGGAAGCATGCCTGCGTCTGCGTCCGGAAGCATGCCTGCGTCTGCGTCCGGAAGCATGCTTGCGTCCGAAAGCATGCTTGCGCCCGAAAGCATGCTTGCGGCTGGAAGCATGCTTGCGTCCGAAAGCATGCTTGCGGCCGGAAGCATGCTTGCGTCCGAAAGCATGCTTGCGTCCGAAAGCATGCTTGCGCCCGAAAGCATGCTTGCGTCCGGAAGCATGCTTGCGTCCGGAAGCATGCTTACGTCCGAAAGCATGCTTGCGTCCGGAAGCATGCTTGCGCCCGAAAGCATGGTTGCGTCCGGAAGCATGCTTGCGCCCGGACGCATGCTTGCGTCCGGAAGCATGCTTGCGCCCAGAAGCATGCTTGCGTCCGGAAGCATGCTTGCGTCCGGAAGCATGCTTGCGTCCGAAAGCATGCTTGCGCCCGAAAGCATGCTTGCGTCCGGAAGCATGCTTGCGCCAGGACGCATGCTTGCGTCCGGAAGCATGCTTGCGCCCAGAAGCATGCTTGCGTCCGGAAGCATGCTTGCGTCCGGACGCATGCTTGTGTCCGGAAGCATGCTTGCGTCTGCGTCCGGAAGCATGCTTGCGTCCGAAAGCATGCTTGCGCCCGAAAGCATGCTTGCGGCTGGAAGCATGCTTGCGTCCGAAAGCATGCTTGCGGCCGGAAGCATGCTTGCGTCCGAAAGCATGCTTGCGTCCGAAAGCATGCTTGCGCCCGAAAGCATGCTTGCGTCCGGAAGCATGCTTGCGTCCGGAAGCATGCTTGCGTCCGAAAGCATGCTTGCGTCCGGAAGCATGCTTGCGCCCGAAAGCATGCTTGCGTCCGGAAGCATGCTTGCGCCCGGACGCATGCTTGCGTCCGGAAGCATGCTTGCGTCCGGAAGCATGCTTGCGTCCGGAAGCATGCTTGCGTCCGGAAGCATGCTTGCGTCCGGAAGCATGCTTGCGTCCGAAAGCATGCTTGCGTCCGGAAGCATGCTTGCGCCCGAAAGCATGCTTGTGTCCGGAAGCATGCTTGCGCCCGGACGCATGCTTGAGTCCGGAAGCATGCTTGCGTCCGACAGCATGCTTGCGTCCGAAAGCATGCTTGCGTCCAAAGCATGCTTGCGTCCGAAAGCATGCTTGCGGCTGGAAGCATGCTTGCGTCCGAAAGCATGCTTGCGTCCGAAAGCATGCTTGCGCCCGAAAGCATGCTTGCGTCCGGAAGCATGCTTGCATCCGGAAGCATGCTTGCGTCCGGAAGCATGCTTGCGTCCGAAAGCATGCTTGCGTCTGGAAGCATGCTTGCGTCCGGAAGCATGCTTGCGTCCGGAAGCATGCTTGCGTCCGGAAGCATGCTTGCGTCCGGACCCATGCTTGCGCCCGGAAGCATGCTTGCGTCCGAAAGCATGCTCACTGCCGGAAGCATGCTTGCGTCCGGACGCATGCTTGCGTCCGGAAGCATGCTTGCGCCCGAAAGCATGCTTGCGTCCGAAAGCATGCTTGCGCCCGAAAGCATGCTTGCGTCCGGAAGCATGCTTGCGCCCGGAAGCATGCTTGCGTCTGGAAGCATGCTTGCGTCCGGACGCATGCTTGCGTCCGAAAGCATGCTTGCGTCTGCGTCCGGAAGCATGCTTGCGTCCGAAAGCATGCTTGCGCCCGAAAGCATGCTTGCGGCTGGAAGCATGCTTGCGTCCGAAAGCATGCTTGCGGCCGGAAGCATGCTTGCGTCCGAAAGCATGCTTGCGTCCGAAAGCATGCTTGCGCCCGAAAGCATGCTTGCGTCCGGAAGCATGCTTGCGTCCGGAAGCATGCTTGCGTCCGAAAGCATGCTTGCGCCCGAAAGCATGCTTGCGTCCGGAAGCATGCTTGCGTCCGGACGCATGCTTTCGGTCGAAAGCATGCTTGCGCCCGCAAGCATGCTTGCGCCCGGAAGCATGCTTGCGTCCGAAAGCATGCTTGCGTCCGAAAGCATGCTTGCGTCCGGAAGCATGCTTGCGTCCGGACGCATGCTTGCGTCCAAAAGCATGCTTACGCCCGGAAGCATGCTTGCGTCAGAAAGCATGCTTGTGCCCGAAAGCATGCTTGCGTCCGGAAGCATGCTTGCGCCCGAAAGCATGCTTGCGTCCGGAAGCATGCTTGCGCCCGGACGCATGCTTGCGTCCGGAAGCATGCTTGCGCCCGAAAGCATGCTTGCGTCCGGAAGCATTCTTGCGCCCGGACGCATGCTTGCGTCCGGAAGCATGCTTGCGTCCGGACGCATGCTTGCGCCCGAACGCATGCTTGCGCCCGGACGCATCCTTGCGTCCGGAAGCATGCTTGAGTCTGGAAGCATGCTTGCGCCCGAAAGCATGCTTGCGTCCGGAAGCATGCTTGCGTCCGGACGCATGCTTGCGTCCGAAAGCATGCTTGCGTCCGAAAGCATGCTTGCGCCCGAAAGCATGCTTGCGTCCGGAAGCATGCTTGCGTCCGGAAGCATGCTTGCGTCGTAAAGCATGCTTGCGCCCGGAAGCATGTTTGCGTCCGAAAGCATGCTTGCGCCCGAAAGCATGCTTGCGTCCGGACGCATGCTTGCGTCCTAAAGCATGCTTGCGTCCGGAAGCATGCTTTCGTCCGGACGCATGCTTTCGTCCGAGAGCATGCTTGCGTCCGGAAGCATGCTTGCGTCCGAAAGCATGCTTGCGTCCGGAAGCATGCTTGCGTCCGGAAGCATGCTTGCGTCCGGAAGCATGCTTGCGTCCGGAAGCATGCTTGCGTCCGGAAGCATGCTTGCGTCC